TCAATTAATATTAACGGCTGGCTGCTTTCTCTTCATTTTGTTTTTTTCGGAGTTGCAGCCCGGAAGCTGCAGTCGTTGCAATTCAAACGAATCGGGGAGAGAAAAGCGCAAACACGCATGACCTTGTGCCGATCAGCCAAATCCAGAGTTCAAAGTAATCAACACAAAAATTCTCATAAATATTCGATGCATGCTTACAAAGAAAAGACAGGAGGTTTTTTTTTTCCGTTGTTTTTCAACTTTCTCCGTTCTCAAGGGGAAAAAAAATGCAAGAATTTTGTACAAAAATCTGCATTGCGGTTCGGCATTCACTTATTCATGGATTTTCGTTCCATTTTTTGCGGAAACCCTTGTTTCTTCCCATGTTTATTGTTTTTATTTTATTTTTTTTGACTCAGCACCTCACTTATTGGCTTTTTTTTTTTTCGCTGTCAATCTAAAAATTTTATTCTCAGCGGAGGAAAAAAATACTAGAGAGTTGAAAATTTAAAACAAAGTTCTAGGGATAGAGAATTTTGCCAGTGAGGGAGGGCCGGGGGTGTTCGAGGTAGACAGGAGCGCCTCTGTTTTCAAGCATGAAAAACTGCACGCTGATTGACAGCATGGGACTTGTTGCATAGCTGCGGCGTGTACTGCAGAAGATTGTCAAATTGTTGTACTCGCACACCAGCCGACTCTTGGCAGCGCGCCCGCGTTTTCACTACAAGCCCCTAAAAACCAGTTGAGCTGAAATGGACGCTTGACTGTACATGGACCTCGGTCGTCCATTGTGAAAGCCGCTCATTGAATTGTTTTGGTCATGTCATTATCGTGGATAAATACAGATTGTGAACGGCTCCAGATTACGGATGTGGCACATTTGCGTACCGTTATTATACTGCGTTTTCGTGAAGTGAAACTCTTGTATTAAGAGTTGGATTAAGTCCGGGAAGTCCCCTCGAAAGGCCCAGGTAACAATTACATGACCAGCCACTGTGTAAAGGACACAAAAAGACCGGAGCCGGACAGACGAGACGTCCACATATGGATTATTTTAAACATTCCGATTTAAGTTCAAGACATTTTGGAACCGTGAGTCGTTCTCAAAAATGGGGCCGATTCGCTTACAAAGCAAATGCAAGGGGCCCTAGTTGCATTCCCTGGAGTGCTCCGTTTAGCTAACCCTTTTTCACTGAGCGGTACAATTAAATTCATTTTGAAGTGGTAACCTCTGGCTTTTGTTAAAGGAGACATTTGGTGCCATTTTCCCACTTGAGTGCGACCTTCGGTCATTTCCTTGCATCTAAAATTGTGATTGAGATGCGTGATGCTGATGTCGAGGCATGATCTCTTTATTGTGATAAATATATAAATATCCGATTTCTCTGTCACGACTACCATACTTCTTTACTCCGCGTATTTGCACTAGAGCCCGACCGATTAATCAGGCAGCCGGTTAAATCAGCTGACATCTTTTTAAAAATCGTCCCTCAACGGGCACTCGACTTGCTTTGCTTGATATTTGCCACAGTAACTCGGGACTTTATTTTCTTTGTGGTTGACATTTTTTTCAGTGTGATACCACTCCATACTCGTATCGTTTCATATCAAGCGTCTACGGAACGATACCTCATAATTTGCTGTCAGGCCTTTTTGGCCGGATCCCATTTGGCTGTCTCGCTTTCGTTACTGTGACTGTTTGCTCGCTGTCACAGCAGAGGGGAGATGACACAATTAACGCAGTTTGTGACAAAGCTGTTTACCCCAGAGCGGGCCAGGTCGCCATGTCTGGGGTTGAAAATGATTCGTCAGTGCACATGGTTGTTATGACGGAGGCATCTTCGCCATGAATCGAGCGCCTTGTTGTTCTTACGCAAGGCATCATCCGCTGTCAGCAGTTGTGCTCTTCAAGCCTGCAGCGCTGTGGTGTATTTGTCTTGCATTGTGCTCGCTTCGAGAAATAAAAAAAACTAATAAAATTGCCATTCGTTACTTGTGTTTCGATGATTTCGTGCCCCAAAAAGAACTGCGGCTATAAAAATCAAGCAGGTGAATATCGGAATAAAATCAAAATATGACAAAAGTTGAAGAAAACATTTCTGAAAGTTTTTTTTTTTTTTGCCACAAGAATGGTGGAATGTAAAAAAAGGAAAGGGTAGTTATATTGTGAAAAAAAAGTTCTCTGAGAAGTTCTAAACATAGATAACTATGTGACACAGAGAAACCATATATACGTTTTTTACAAATATTTTTACCCCTCCCACACTCTTGAAACACATTTCAACTTTTAAAAGTATCGCTTTGTGCCTTTCTTCGCTCTCGCTGTCGAGAAATCGTCGCTTTTATAATAACATCGCTTTGAAGAAATCGAAATGTCTTTTTTTCTTTAGGTCACGTTAACAATGGATGAGACAAAAAAAAAAAAATTGTACAGTGTAACAGTCCAAAGAAATCTCATTTTTTGCCTAGTCAACAAGCTTAATTTATTATCTCACACAATTGATGAATAATCATGCCCAAAGATGTACATTATAAAATGAACACACAGCCGTCACTTTCCGTAGGCATAAAAAGCAGGATGAAGAGAGGGTGTGACATTGAATAATCTCGAGCAAAAAATACGATGAGCTCAAAGGCCTTCCTGTTTTCATTCTTCTTTCAAACGTATGCTTCCAAACTAAATAGTGTGCTACCATCTACTGATCACTAATGGAATTACACCCAAAATAAATGCATGTCGCAAAATGGCAGGAAAGCAAAGGCGGAACCCGCCATCAATGGAGATTTACCGTATACTGTAAAAAATACCTCAAAAACGATAAGAGTGACGGAAAAGATGAACTGTGATATACTGTACCGGGGTTCACACTGTAATTAAAAAAAAAGAAGCATTTTCTCAATTGTTTTTCTGTCATTTTAGTGCTTATAACCCCAAAACCAAAAAGCCATCATGAAAGGCGTCACTTCTCCATTCAGGAGTCGGAATATTGAAGTGAGAAAGGTGAAGGCGTGAGCAAGTGTTGAAAAAAGGGCGCCTTCCCCCTCACGCTTCCTGCTCGTGTTCCTCTTGTCGTTCGCGTGGGCCCAGCCCGTTTTTCAGGCTCGGTGGCCGCTCGCCTTGGGCGTCTGCGGAACCTTTGGGGCTCGCGCGCTGCTCCTGTTTACCTCCCCACGCTACCATGCCCGTCTCTCTCGAGTTCCTCCTTCTACAAACTGTCTTTAAAAGGAGGCCTGTTCACACCAGCCACACAAAGTCACCACCCAAAGTCCACGTAGGCAGGATGAGGAGGGCAAAGCCCGAGGGCTTGGTTAGCTGCGTCGTTGTAAAAAATGACTTTTGGGCCGAGGGTGTGTTTTTGTTGTCGTTTAAAAGTTCACTCGATGACTCCCGGTCTGGCAACCTGCTTGATGACATCACGACTAATGAGTAAGGCTTCAACCCTGCAGAGTATGATTAGAGGGAACATCTGGAGTTGCATTTAATGTTAGCATGGGGATTATGTTAGAGCAGCGTGTGTGACACAGACGGAGGTGGCGAAAGTCCTCGCACTCTGTACGAGCAGTAAGTACATTTCTCAAACGTGATGGCCAGTCATGATGGCATGCCATTATGAATGCGCTTAGTCACAAATGGGAACCGAGAACGGATATTTAGCTTCGGCAGAATAGCAATGCTAAGCTAACATTAGCACCGGGAAACAAGCGGGCATCAGCCACGGCCGCTACATTGCTAGCATGACTAATGCGCGGCTGGTATGTGTTGCCGCAGCTTAGAAGCGTTGTGAACAAACAAAATATGCTAAATTAGATAACAGTTAAGAAAAAAAAAATACACCTGACGGTTGTGATTTTTAAAATAGTCGTGGAATTTTTGCCTTTTTTTTTTTTTTTTTTTTGGAAGCTAGCGCAAGATTAAACACATTCTCACCACAAGGCACTCTGTTCTCGGAGCTGAAGACATTAAAAAAAAATCTTAAATAAGACCACGACTGGGCAATATACTTTACTTCTTCTCCACATAAATCTGTTACGTCATCCTTGTTAATGCTGGCTGTTGGTGCGGTGTAGTTTGGATCTTATTTATTCATTTTTTTTCATTTACTAATGAGGTGAAGCGGCGTGTACAGCTGCGTTCATGTTAGCCAAGATGGCGACGTGCACGGTTGCTCCATCTCCGTCTCTCAAACGTTGGGGCAAACAATTTTCTCAGATGCACTGCGTCCTGTCAAAGGGCTTCTCAGAAGAGTGCAAGCTGCATATTTTCCTACACTTTGGCTTCCTGTAGGTGGAATAACTACGTGTCCTAAAGATTTTTTTCCCCTTATGTGGTGTTATTTTTGTATTCGCCCCCCCCCCCCCTCATTAATGGCTTCTAGGTAAATGACCACATGACCTCCAAGGACAGAAGTCATACCATTAGGACGGAGAGTGTGTACTCTGTCATTAAATGTTGTTTTCAAGCTATTTAGTTGTTTGCGATCAAAATCCCACATTGAGTGAGTGCGCAGACGCTTTTAATGTCGCCAATTCTAGGACTCAGTACTCCCTTGACTAAAACTTCCTTGGTATTCCTCTTTTTGGTTTTTGAACGACATGACTTGATAAGTCTTGCCTGATGACATTGATTTGAAAATCAGAATCTTTGAGCAAGTGTGGCATTTCTTTTGGTTGTCGAACGAAATGATGTTTAGGAGTGCCTAACCACCCTAACCTGCCTAACCTCATTAAAGAAATGTCATGGCAGGACTCCGCAGACAATTTTGGATTCAGTTTTTTTTTTTTTCTTTTTTTTTTTTTTTTAATATGATCAGAATAAACATACACGGTCTGCAGCCAAAAGGTAATTACAACAGCTGTGACATCTAACCTCATCAGTCAGTCACCTTACACAACTCCCAAAGCCAGGTAGGGAAGCGACGTTAACTTCCCAGTTTATTTAAGCGATAGCTGCTCAGACATCAACAAAGCTTCATGTCGGTTATCCGTTTAATTTACATGACTTGGAAATAGACGACATGGACACTGGGTTGGACCCATGAACAAAACTCTCAGTGTGACTGTACAGCTAACTAATGCACTTCCAGATATTGTCTGCAAAGTGGCTTATGTGCAAATATGTGTTGTGACCGAGCAAGATTACACGATTGTTTTCTGGCTTATGATGACTGGACTCCACTTGCTTCTGACTTGGCATGATTTTTGGCCACAGTAACTGGAGATTTATTTACATTTGAAACTTCTCCCACCCCTGCGTCGGCCTGTTGCTCCGCCCCACACATAACCCGAATTAGAGCGGCCTGGCTCGCAGATTCATGCAGCCTAGCATTATCCCGCGCTCACAACAAAAGCACTGGGGCCCGCCGACGCTCTATTTTTAGCGCGCCGCTACTCACAAATTGACGTTTCAATACTCGCAAATGAGAGGCCTTCAATCGTGAGCCGCCTCAACCTTGTGAAGCTTTCTGCTTTCTGCTTCTGCGTTTTTTTCCCCTCCCAATAAGACAGGCGGGGGGGGGGGGGCTCTTTAACTCGATGGACTTTTGCACTCTGACTTTATGAGACATATGATGACAGTGGTGGGAAGTAAACAAGTATCGTACACATACTTTATGACAGTACTTTTAAACTCTAAATTTTAGAGATTACTTTCAGATGCCTTCTTCAGCGTTTATTTTTCTGATGCTTTTTTTATGTAAATTTTTTTTTTTACCCCAAATATTTGTGCTTTCTCTTCCTGACAAATTCGTGATGTTTTTGTTTATAATATAATTTCTTTAATGAAAGTCTGCTAACTTAATGCTGCCTTGTAATGTGATAATTAGCTTAGATGCTACATCTCTTCCAGTAGATTTAAGTGCTGCTAACGCGGTACTCCGATAAATATGCACAACTCTAAATTTGGACTTACTGTGTAGTTTAATGGTCATACAGCGGGGACATGAAAATGACAAACCACAATATATGATTATGAGAACCCCTGGAGTTGTGGTTCAAGGTGTACCACAGGGAAGGCCTGCGCCACTCTGATAAATCTCAAGTTCTCTCTCGCGTGCCAGCTCAGCGCAAAGACAGATTCTTCCACAGATGTCTTCATCTTGTGCCGTTGAAGTGAGGTGTTTGCGGTCCTCCAGAGAGCGGCGGCTGGCCCGTTGATTCGTCATTAGCTGACTCTTGCCAAGTGTGAAAAGCCGCTTGTTGGGTGCTGGCTATGTTAGCTAGCAGGATGATGCAAAAACCTCGCAAGAATTCAGAAGAAGAAGAAGAAGAAGAAGCATCTTAGGAGTTAAGAGTGGTTAAAATTAGGTTTAGGATCAGGATTATTACATTTATTTTGTGTGGTACTTTGTTTAAAAAGTTAGAGAACCGTTGGCTTGGTAAGTTTAAGGGCTAGCATGAGGTTAGGATTAGTGTAGGGGTAATTTGTTAGTTTTTTAAGGGTTGGTTGATACAGTTTTTGGTTTGTTTATGGGGTTAGCGGTTAGGGTTAATTTTGTGTTAGGTACAGTATGTGGTTGGGTTAGGTTAGTTCAGTGCTTTGGTTGGGGTTAAGAATAGCTTAGGGGTTAGGTGTTAGCCTTCGTTCAGTCGTTAGTGTTAATTTATGAAGACCCCTGGTTTCGGGATTACCTGTTGTAGTTCATTTTGCTACGACCTAACTACCACTACGAGGATTATTTCGGTACTAGGTTTTGTGTGTCTCTTGAAACGTGTCGTGTAAATCCAGCCAAGGACACCAATGATTCTGAAGCAGGTTTGATTCAGCTGAAACAACACAACAGTGTGCCAGATGACGATGGTTTAGTGTCCTATTGTACCCTAACACAAAGATCCCGTCCCCACACCCTGCACACACCTGCTGCTACCTGCCACGTCTACACAAACGGAGAGTGGTTGCCTGTCTCAAACCCACACACACACTGTTCTCGTATTCACTTCAAACTCTAAAGCAGGTGTGCCAGAGAGTTCTTTTGATAACCGCGCTTGTTTTTCCCCTTTCAACATATCCCATCGTACTTTGCACCCATCTGTAACGCTGAGACGGGCAATCGTCTGTGTGTGAATTTTTGTATGTTTGGAAAATTTGGGCCCGTCACGAACATCATACAAAATTTGCTGGGGTGGTACGAAGTCACATAGTTTTCAAAGCGTTCAAATATGACATGGGAAAATATGCAATTTGGCTAATAATATGTGGAAGTCATAAATCAAGGTACCGTTGATCCGCGCTTTTCATGGGGGAAGGGACCGGGCTGGCCTGCGAATAGTGAAAGTATGTGTACTACAGACGCCCTTTGAAATGCAATAGGGGGAAAAAATGTTAGTGTTTTGTAATCCGGAAAATTGTTTTTAAAAATGTGTTGAAGAGTCGATATGTTTTCATGAAAAAATGGGGGAAATGGAAGAATCCCCCCCACCCCTCACCATATATTAATTAAAAAAAAAAAGTAAAGTATTTGTGAATATTGTGGCGAACGGCAAATATTCAGTGGCCCGCCCACCGTACGATTGCAAAGATCTGCAGACTCGTGTCAATTAGTGGAGCCCACATTTCAAAACAAACATGGTGAAGCAGCGTTTAGCTCTTATGCTGCACGCCAACAGAAGTGAAAATCAGACCAGAGTGTAAATGGTTTTAAATCCCGGTTATTTGTGTCTTCACTTTTAAATGTTTTTCAAGTCTTCAGTTAAATGTTGTCAATGTATTTTCTTTTCGCAATTTTGGCAAGATCTATACATATTTTTTTCTCTTCTTTGCTTTTGAATGTCGTTGGCTGTTTTGTTTGTAAATGCTTTTAGGTTTTGTGTCTTTGCTGGTTGTGAAGCACATTGAGTTACCTGGTGTTTTACATGCTAAATAACAACGGCTCTCTTACCTTGCCTTGCTGTACTCCGCTCTACGAGTCAAGCTGTGGAATGAGCGCGGCACAATTTCCCCAAACGTGTCTTTGCGGTCCCTGCAGGTGAGAGTGCGATGAGGAGAGCGTTCCCAGCGTGAGGAGGCCATGGGCTGCACCTCGGCCAAGCAGGTGTCGGCCGTGCCCAACGATGACGAGGGCCGTGGCAAGGCCTACAGCAACGGGGACCTCTTTGCCGGTCAGTTGCACCACGCTCCCGCTCCCACGCGCCCACTCCCACTCTTACTTTCACATTCTTCTATCTCACACACAGACACACATCCTCACACACTTGTCCGCTGATAAATTCTTGGTGACTCCATTTCCTGTCCTTAATCCCTCTGCGTTGACCCTCTGGGCCCGTGCGCCCGCTCTCTCACCATCCTCTTGCGATCATGGTTCCTAATCCTCTGGCCTCAAAGCAAGTATCCCCAAGTGTCATCCGCATTATTTTATGCGAGGTGTCCTGGGACGTGCCGACAGAGGAGGTTACCGGGCAGAAATTAATGGAGTGCTTTAGCGCCGGTTAATCCCCGGGCGCCATGCGAATATGCACCCATGGTCGGCGTGGGTTGTGTCATGGAATGGAAGCTGTTTTAATTTGGAATTTGAACTTTTTTTTTTTTTTGGCATAGATTTAAAAAAATATATATTACACTTAATATTTTGAGGTTTAAAAAAATATATATATTAATGAAAAAGTTCCATAGCGGTGAATTAACATTTGACTGCAAAAAAAACAAAAAAAAAAAAACAAATAAGTGATTTTACAAATGCCAAATTGCAAATATGCAGTGGGTTCTTTCTTACCAAACATATATTTATGGTTTGACTGTGAATATGAATAATGAAGCTCCTCAACTCACTTCCACAGTCCCTCCCGTCAGATGGCACCAAAACTACACGGCTCTTAATTATGAATGAGCACCCCAAAAAAAAAAAAAAGTGAACATGTTTTTTTTCCCGTGAGCAACAGAAGATGGGGTAAAAACAAACAATCCGGCGAAAATGCGAATAAGCCGGAAAGGTGTTCACTGGATTTGACTTAGAAATGAAAGAACTGAGGTGTCACTGGAATTTCCAAGATGTGTGCAATGATGAGAAAAGCAAAAGCGAAAGAGAGATGCTGATGATGAGGGATTAAGTGCTTCGGAATTGCGGGCAAATCTCCACTCTGGTGGCAATGCGGCAACCCCCGGAAGGTCCCTCACACCCCCTGGACGGCCTTTCCCACATCATCTCTGGAAGGAGACACGATGGGAGGATTCCTCCTTCACTTCTCCTTCCTGACCTCCTCTTCTTCTTCTTCCCATCCTCCCCGCAGCTCTCCCTCTCGCTCTCTCTTTTTATTTTGGGCTTTTCCGCCTTCATCTCCCACTGTTCTTCTTCTCTGGCACATCCTGTCACCTCCTTCGCCCCCATCGCACCCCGAACAAGGAATTCCGGGTAACGTTCCTGTTTGAGCAGATCAGCATCCGCGCGCTTGGGAGTGTGAGAACGTGTGGGTGAAAGTGTGTGTGCATGAGTATCGTGTATGTGTGTGTTTTATATAACTATTGTTTTAAGAATGAACTAATCCGTCAACTATTTTGTCAATGAGCCGATGAATTGTATTCAAAAAAAAAAAAAAGTTTTTCATTTTCATCCCTTTATTTAAATCCAGGAAATTATTTTCGGGGGCAGCGGTTAACTACGGTGGACACATTCATTTCTTGTTTGGGTCCGTAACATTTCAGAAAATGGGCGCCATTTTTAAAAAATGCTCGTCATTGTATTCCAAAGTAAAAACAAAATGTTTTATTTGTTGATTTGGGCCAAGATAAATAAGATATGCCACGCTATTCTTCCACTTTCGGGTTTACGCCTCTCCCCTGAGCCAACTGACAGACTTATTTTATGGAGCATTGTCATTATCCCCCCGCGCGCGCTAAATGGGGATTCATTGTATTAGTGTGCGTGCGTTTGTGTGTCTCTTTGTGCTTGTGTTTGTTACAGCTCGCCCGTCAACAGATTGCCAGTCAGGCCTTGCTCTCTCGAAACGCGTTTGTGTCCCAGATATTGTCTGATGCTGTCAGATTGTGGCCACTAAACCCCTGACGACCCTTTCCTCCTCCTCCTCCTCCTCATGCTGCCGCTTCTGCTCCTCCTCCCCTCGCTCTCGCACAATAACCGGAAAAGGCTGAGCTCCACGACCCAAACGCCACTTGAAAAACGGCCCCTCTCTCGACGCGGTGCAGTTTACCCGCTCCGTTGTTTTGAGGCGACGTATCGGCCGAGTGGCCCGGTGATCCGTCTTCTCTTCTGACGCCGGTCGTTTTTTGGTTTTTTTTTTTTGTTCATTATTGATATTATTATTATTATAGCGTGACGCCTTGACTTGTGAGTTTCATTTGTTCCGTGGCCGAGCTTGTAACTCGAGTCACGAAGAAAATCAATCCTAATTGCGGTTTTACAAAGTCATCATGAATCTGAATCTGAATCTGAATCTGAATAGGCCATTGGATGTGTGAGTCTTGAGGGGGCGTGGCCTCGTGAGTGACATCAGAAGGTGGAGCTCCTGATCTGTGTGTGAGCTGTGGTCGACCGCAGCTCCTTGCCATTTTGTGTGTTTCGTTCATGGAAGGGCATCAAGTGCATTGAGGAAGTTGGTCGAAGGTTACATCTTGACTGGGAGCGCAGTCTTGTATGTCGGGAAGGAGCAAAGTTTAGCCTGGGTCGTCATGGAGAGTTTTAAATTTTTATTGATTTATTTTTTGCATTTTTATTTGTTTTTGCCATTTATTTTCAAGGGTCGTGTTGTCTGCCAGGTGTGATCATAATTTTCAACTCCCATGTTGTTTGTTTTTATTTATTTATTTGTAATATTTCACGGTTTTGTTTGACCCCCAAATAGAATGTTCGTTTTTGTCGCTATTTTTTGTGAAATTCTGTTCCAGTTCAGTAAGTAAAGTAGAAGCTGCTCGGTTTGCTTTGGTGGGGCACAAACAAACGGGGACATAAATTGTGCACTTGAAGACAAAGTCAACTCAGTGGACTGCGCGTGAATGTTTAGTGCGTCCTCCTCGAACCGGCGACGAGACGAGACGTCATAAAGAAATGGGGGGGAGGGGTGGGGGGCTTCTCAAAATAGGTGCTCCCTTTTATCCTGCACTTTTCTTCGGTGTCACTCCTTCGCTCCTGCGTCGAGTCCCGTCTGGCGTTACCTTAAAAAAACCCCAAGTCGTCCTCCACTCCTCCTCACTCGTCACCCAGGAAGAATGGCCTCTCGGCTTCAAAGTATATCAAATATTTATAATATCAGTCCTGTTATTTGTTTGTTTTCACAATCATGTCCTGACTCTCCTGAGTTTTGAATTTTGGCAGCCCTGCACAACAAATGTTCTCCAAATTACATCACCACAGATCATCTTTTTTTTTTTTTTTTTTTTAAAAAAATCAATTTAGCATTGGTTCTGGACAAAAAAATGCAATTTGCTACGACTTTTTTTTTTTTTTTTTTTTTAAATCAAAGCTGTTATGTTGGGGTTTTTTTTGTTGGTTGATAAAACTATTGCTTTAGGTCCCAGGGATTACCTGCAAAAAAAAAAAAAAATCTCCAAAATTAGAAAGTTGCTCCTCAAATGAAGTCATTGATTCTCAAAACTGCTCTGTAAAGACAAAAACAAAAACGTCTCTCCTTGTGTGCGGTACACATTGTGTTTTACAACAATACTTAACAGTACAGCAATGCAATATCTTGACTGACACCCGACCTTTTTATGGATTAAAAAAAATGATCCATTACAAATCCACACAGGCTTTCACAATTCGCATTGCTAGAAATCTTGATGCTAAATGCGGTCACTTGTCTTTTTTTTTGTGACGGTCTGAGTCAGATTCTGAAGCATTGCGCTTTTTGCGGCAATTCTTTTCACCTTGCCTACTCATCTGCATCCTCCTCGGGCTGCCGACTATTAAATATGACATTTTATATAAAATGTGTCCCAGCTAATAGCTTTTAATTCCTCGCCGCGGCGACACACTCTTGCTTGTCGGCCGACGCCTGTGAAGTGTTATCACGCCCTGTGTGCGTGCACGCGTACGTGTGTTTCGGCATGCTGAGACACGAGACGCTTCGCTCCCACCGGTTTACATTCCTCGCACACAAACAGCAGCAAACAGCAACCCCCCCCCACACACACACCCCGACCCCCCAACTTCATCTTCTTTTTTCTTTTTCTGTCGTCAAATCTCGGGCCAGCTTTCCACTTCATTTCTTGCCGACTCCCACCAACATTTGACATTTGAGGTCGCCGCGGTGATGACGCACACACAAGGAATGGACAAGCATGACATGAAGCACACGCCAATGCATCCTCTCCACACACACACACACACACACACACACACACACACACACACACACACTTCGGGCGGGGCGAAGCAATCAGCTGGGTGCAAAGTTGCACAGATGGGACGGATAAACGCTACTGAGAACTCGCGGGGGCAAAAGCAACAGCGCGAAACTGATACAGTGGAGTGAACGTAAATCACATCCGGGATGGGGGGGGTAAATATGGAAGGGAGGGGTTGGGGTCACTGTCACACACTCTGACAAATGTATTCTCAACAGAGAGTGCTCTTCATTTTGTAGCATTTGGTTGGTCAAAGCAAGCCAAGTTCGACTCGCAAAACATACCTTTCGCAAATTGCGCATATAAATGCGTTTCATAATCAGTACCTCTGGACATCGTGGCCTTGACTTGTGAGTTTGTTTTATTTTATTCCATGAGCACGCTTGTACGTCAGGTCACTCGCGTTTCAAGTCGTCTTTCTCCACCGAAATGAATGGAAAGGACGTTTTTAGAGCATTTGTCGAGTTGTTTTTTTTTTTTTTTTACCACTTCATTTATTTGAGTTTTTATTAGTTTTAGTATTAGCGTCGTTTTTTTTTTTTTTTTTTTATATATATGGAGTCTTTGTTGAGAGCAACATTTAAAAAAAAAAATCCCACTGTATTATATAGTAAAGTAGACTACAATTCTGAAAAGACTGTTTTACCGACCAAAATAATAAAAACATTTAAAATGAACCCAGAAAAAGCTCATGGATTTTAGTTCACAAAGACGAAATTGGATATTTTTGCTCTATTTTTAGTTTCAGTTAGTTTTTGTTTTTAAAGCATTTTCGTTTATTCGTCTTTTTTTTTTTTTTTTTTTTTTTAGTTTTTTTTCAAAATGCTTTCGGCGCTACATAAATAAATAAAGATGCATTGAATTTTTTTTTTTTTTTCGTTCCAGAAAATGTTTTTTATTTGTAGTTATTTAGTTTTGGGTGACTATAATAACCTTACTTGACAGTATTGCACTGAATGAAATGACAATATACAGTAAAGCACTTGCAGCTTATCAATATCATGATGTCATTCTGCAGCGCATTCTGTTGAGTGTGTCTTAGCCACCAGGGTGCAGTATAATATTCAGTAAGGATAAATGAAGAAAATAAAAAGAACCTGCTCGGCATTCCACAATAATATTAGTCAAATTTCAAAGGAAACGGAATACATAATACATCTGAGTACTTGTACCGTCTTTCTACATGTGTTGCTACACCTTTAGATCACCGCGGCATGACTTAGATGCTAGATTCGTTAGCCTGTCAATTTCATTTTCCATTCAAGGTTAGCTTTAAGCTAGTGGGTTATTAGATCAGTCGCACCCAGCATGTTGAAGCTGGAGTCCATGCGCTCCCTCTGTCACTCATTAGGCCACACCCACCTTCACCTCAGATAAATCTATGCATTTTCATTGCTTTTATTCAGCTATTTTATTGATGTTATTCAGATGCAGTGCTCTTTCCCTTTCTCATAAATGCGTAACGAAAGACATCGGATCCCGTGAGAGTGAGTACGCAAAATGATCATGAGATGAGACGAGACGACTGAGCCACAACGGAACACATTTGTGACCGTTGACTGACAGTTGGGGTGATGCGGGGCACGGTTACCACGGCGACCGACGGCGCAACACCAATAAGCGTCCGACAGTTTACAATCCGCGCGGCAGGTGAATCACTTTAAGTGCGGCAAGACGCTCCAAGCGGCGACGATCCGGCCCAAGTGTGCTGTGAGGCGTCGTATTATTTATGATTTTACCACACTCAGCGCCGCTGAGCTCATCTGCAGCGTCTAAAGCTGTTCAGGGACACATTCACTTTAATCTCCCATGGCAGGGCTCCTCCATTAAAAAAAAAAAAAAAGAGTTCAAGAGATCCGGTTGTGTTCAAGCTGAGGTTCGAAACAACCGAATGTAGTACCTGGATTGTTATTACGGAGATTTTTTTTTTGTCTTTGCTGTCCAACAAACGATTATTTTAATAACCGATTCATCTGTCGGTTATTTTGGGGATTAGACAAAGAGTTGGATTTTTCTCAAAAATATTAATTTTGTCCCTTTATTCAAAAACACGACAAAGTAAACTTCAATTCAATATGATTCATTTACTGATTTGGTTTGTCACGTGTTTTATTTTGAAAATTCACCACAGCGATAATCATCCAATTGAAAAAGGGATCGAAATTATACTTTGGGGGATTCATTATAAAGATATAGAGGGACATTCCAAACATTTTTGTGAAGTAATTTTTCTCCCTCTCATCCACTTTAAAACACATTTAACTTAATACATACTGCGTGCGAGTGCCTGGGCGTGAGCTGTGGCCGACAGCAGTTTTCACTGTTCTCCTGGCAGTCACTAAATTGCTGAAAAGTGCATTGGCAACAAGTCATTTCACAACCTTGCTAATTGTGACTCTTTCTCTTTTTCTCCCAGATGAATACAAGGCGAAGGGAGTGGAGGAGGTGAAGTACATGAGAGGCGAGGAAAACCGGGTCAATGTGCGCAACCAGGAGAACTTGGTGAGACGCGTATGCGCAAGATTCTGTTGTCAGTTTGCTTTTTTTTTTTTTTTTTTTTTTCTTTTCCAATTTGCTACACTTGGACACTGATGCTGTATTTTATTTATTTTAGTCCGCATTAATGATCTCACATTTTACAGTTAATTGATTCTCAGTAAAATAAGGAATATGTCTTCTTTGCTGCACCCCAACAATTTTTTTTTTTAATGCGAGACCATCACAAATCACATCACTTTAAAGAAGTGAAAAAAAAATTCTTACTCGCACCGTTTTCCAAATTAGGCATTGTGCTTGCTTCAAGCTGTGTGCTCATCGAAGAAAAGAGAATTACGTGTACATTTAACATCAACCAGCTCAACCAAACCCTATAAATCTGCTAGCTTCATGTTAGCATATGACAAAACGCCATAGACCGGCGAACGGAATCTACCATCTCTGCTGTCGTTGTCATATTTTCATACAACTGCTGCTTTCAGACAAACACACACAGCAGCCAAGCGTACAAACGGAGCTTACGGTGATACTCACAGGTCAATTCTCTCCGCTGGAGCTCAGTAGGGAACCTTTTCTGCCTATTGTTTGCCATTATTTCGTTTCAGTAGACATCAGTGCTGGCTGACACGTTGTGACACAATGTGAAATTTGCCTGTTTGATGAAGCACGATATAGTGGGGGAACGCTGCATTTCAAAGTTGAGTTGCATGCGCGCGTGTGTGCGTGCGTGCGTGCGTGTGGTAGCAAATCAGGTAGGTCTGCCTCCTGTCCCGCTCGGCTAATAAACATGAACATAATGTAAGTCATTCATCAGAAGCGGCCACCTGTTTTATGTCAATGCGCCGACACTCCGTTTAACGTGAGCTGCTTCTCCTTCGGTCCGTGTAGGACACGATTCCAAGCAGAGGTTCGATGGTAAAATGGAGGTCAAGACGGGTTTCATTGGGTTTTCGCCGTAAGCAGGCAAGTCACGCTTTAGGTATTCGCACCTTCAGTCCGTGGCCGCGTTGTGCCGCGACACGCGAAATTCAGGAGTGAGTATTGTCGTAGGCCCTGTTTGCATGTGGGGTTCTTCTGCCGCGTGTCTTACCTTAGCGGTTACTTGAAGGTATATTTCATCGTAGCGTTAAGCTAGCGGAATGTTCGTCAGATGATCGTTTAGTTTGAACACTTTTTACGTCGATAATGATTCATCGTCTTTTCTGTTTCATGTGCCAGTTTTAACGAAAACTTCAACTAGCACTAATTAGCAGCTTGAAGCAAGCACGCATTGCCTCTACGGTACGTTAGGCCTCCGTCTCCTCTCCTCACCAAATAAGTACGTGAATCTACCGGCTGCTTTTTTTTAATCAACGTAAAAAGCGCTGAGGAGTCATCATCATGACAAATGTTGTGTCTATGTGTGTGTGCGCGCATGCGTTTCCAGGAGAGAAGTAACACGCCGCAAAGTGGCAAGTTCCAGAAAGAGATGGCGGCAAATATTAAGTCAAAGTAAGTGGCCCAAAAGTTCCTCATTCTGCATCGGTGCTGTTTTACACCCAACCGTGATACCGGGGAAGTTTTCCTTTTCTACACAACAAAAAAAAGTCATCCATCCTATTCATTAAAGAGATTCCAGACAAGGGCTACATGGAAAAACTTTGTTTTGCTAGTGCTAGCTGTCATATAGTAGCGTTACGTCCATCCAATGCTGTGCCCGCTCACTGAAGTCTACGCCGATATTTTTACGAGACAGATATTCGAATTCCTTCCGGGCCGAGCCGTTCTCACACTGTACTAAGGAATCGCGTGTGTGTGTGCGTAGAGGGAAGCGGGCGGGGAGGGGGTTAGGGGGGGGCGAGGGGGTTGGTTGGAATGGAAAATTCTCATGATGTATTTGTTGCCGCCGCCTCCTCCTCCTCCTCTTCTTCGTCCTCATCCTCCCAACTTCCTCTCGTTCGTTCAGCATTCACACGTCAGAGAGCCAGCAGGAATTCTTCCGGATGCTGGATGAGAAGATTGAGAAGGTGAGGGGCGGGGAGGGGGGGAGCGCATGCGTTTGTTTGTTTGTCTCGTCGAGGAAGCGGCGGGAGGGCAAGAGGTGGCCTGTTCATCTCTGAGGGGGGGGGAAATGTTACGGAAAAAAGTGACTTTTTGCCAGCAGTTTGTGTTCGAAAAGTGAAGATACAAATTCAGTGGTAGGTTAGTCTGTGATGAATGGATAAATAGATGAATGGATGGATGCCATGGAAATGCCATTTATCAGTTCCACCGTTCCCCTAAAAAGAATTTGAATGGTGAAAATAGCACTCTTGATAAAAACAGACAGTGATGACATCATTAGATCGAATTAAAAAGAGTTACAGGTTTTATCACACAGCTTCAATAGAATATCCTTATTTATTTATTTATTTTTTTGGGTGTGCCTGCTTTGGCCACCAGGAGGCAGTGTATGACAGGCAGCTGGATATACTGTTCATTGAGACATCTCAACTCTTCTCTGCTCATCAGTATGGCAATGGTATTTGTCGCTCGTCGCAGCGGATAAAGAATTTGTGACTGTGAGTACGTTGATATTATTCGCTCACCAGTCGCTGCGCCATTTGCGTGCAGTCCGTCGCTTAAAGGGTTGGAGCGCCGCAGCATACAGGAGATGCTATTTGGCGTTAGAGTTTAGGTAGAGGACAGAGAAGTGTTGCTGTCTTTGTTTTATGTTTAGTTTGACAGTAAACTTCAATTAGGGCTGGCATATCGTAA